AATTAAATATAGAATAATAAATAATAAAATAATACAAATAGTATTTTAGTTACGAATTGAATTCTATTTGTTATATAATTATAAATGATAATTGATAATTAATCGAAGTGAACATCGTCATGAAACATTCAATATTGCAGGCTATATTCTATATTCTATATAAACAATTAGCCAACCATATTTACATTATATCTGCACCTCCTACAAAATAAATAGTTAGCAATTTAATTTCTACAATTTCCAAATATATTATAATTAAATATGAGTTCAACTACAATTAATACACTTTAATATATTCAATTTGGAAATACTATTCCCGCATAATAAATATATATAAAATATATTAAATAATTAAAGATTGATGCATAAAAAAGGAAATTTTGTCAAATTACAGGACTATTTCATACAATAAATATATCAAAATCATATGAATATAGCTAAAAACTGATTTAAAATTCCAATTGACTGTTTAAATAAGATTAACCATCCTTAATTATGCATAGCTAAATGTAGACTTATTGTCATTGAATCTAGAGTTATTTACTCTGAAACTTGTCGCCGCCCATAGCCATGTATTTAAAAGTCGAGCTGCAACTGAGTGTGTGAAGCCGGAGTGCTCCAGCCACAAGCCACAGTTGTACAGCTCAACCGCAGAGCTCGAAAGCGAAGCGCATAATGACCAATTGCTGCCTACAGTAGGACAAATAAAAAAAAACAAAAAAAAAAAAAAAACACAAAAATTCGTCGGCAATTCCAACGCCTAGCGCGCTCTTCCTCACTTCTCACTTCCCACTTGCCGCTTCCTGCTGCCGTCACATTTGTAACTGCAGCACACAAACAAATGTCCAATGAAACAGATTGCCAGGCAAACAAACAACCAGCCGAAAAAAAAAAAAACGGAAAAACAAGAAAAAATTGGAAGACAAATAAAAAAGGCAGAAAAACTAAAACAGATATGTAAAGAAAAAAATAAGGGCTGCACGATAAATTGATGGGAAAAACAATACAGAGCTCTCGCCCCCCACCCCGCCCGCAATGAGTGTCCCTGCGGCAAACACTCGTGTGAGTGTGTACCCACACACGGATACACTGCTCTTCTTCTTCTTCATTTTGTTTCCCCTGCTGCTGGCTGTGGAGTGCATGTCCTGGCGCGCAAGGGTTTAACGCACTTAAGCAATAAAAATCGAAACAATTTTTGGCGCTGCCAAAGTGAAATTGAAACAAAATGCCGCCAGAGGAAATACTTTCGATTTTCGTCCAAAATGCCAGCAAAAAAGCAACAAAAAATTGGGGGCAAAAAGAGAGCTGTATAAGTGCGAATGTTATAAATAAGTGGAGCAGTTGGGCAATACGAACGAAAGTTGTGTCCTTTTATATGCAATACGTTTCGCCAACGGAACGCCTTGACAAACAGTTTGGTCTACCATGTCACCCACTCACTCTCTCTCTCCATCTCTCTCTCTCTGCCTGTGTGTGTGTGTGTGTGTGTACAAATGACTGGACTATAAACGCATCCTGTCTATTGTTTATGCTCACTGGCGTGTGGCAAGCGCATAATTGAAAAAGGACATTCGATTGGCTGGCCCAACTGCCGGCGGCCAGAGTTATGAAAGGACACATCATAAAAGCCATGCACGTAAAATAAAGGAATATGGCTTTTGATTAAGTAACACGCCAGAGCCAGACAATAATATCTATATACACATATATATATATCTATCTCTCTCTCTCTCCTTCTATCCGTTTATCTCTGTGCATCTAAAGTGCCTCCAATCAATTGAATTATTTATATTTATCCATCCTCTCTCTTTCTCTGCTCCCTTGTAGTGCCCGATCATGGCGCCACCTATCGGTCGGACGGCAAGAATACGCCCTTGAAGCACGACGCCAAATCGCTGACCGACGAAATGGATCGCATGCAGGACCTCAAAAGCTCAGCCGCTGTGCACATACACAACATACTACACTCGTTGATTATCGTTGTCTACCTGGGGGCGTGGCAGGCCTAAGAATTTAAGCAAGAAATTAAGTAATAATCTGTACAAAATAATAAAACAGTTCGTAGATCTAAGCTAAATCAGTTGTAAGCAATTAATTCGAGAGAGATTCGATCGAGAGCTAAATGTAAAAAGTTGTTGTTGCTTAGCGCGTAAGTTGAAAAGGGTTTTCGTACACACACACACACACACACACACAGGCACACATAGACACCCACATAATGCAGACAGGTTTACAAACATACAACGGAACTACAAAGTATTAGCATGTAAAATTGAAGCGATTCGCAAATTTGAAAAAAGGACATCCTAGAGCTTAGGATTGACGTGTGTTGTATTAGGCGGAACAACTAATGAACTACAACTAAAAACAAAAAGCAAAAAAAGAACAACTATAAGCTACATTTAAATCTAGGCTTAAGTCAAATGGTCGAGTGGAGAGCAGCCAACCTTCGTATGAATCGTTGCGAAAGCGACGG